AAATAAAATTTCGAAACATTTTGACTTCATGAAACATACTTAGAACGTCCTTTGTTCCCTTAAACTCTGGACGAGTCCATTTTCTAATTGGCCCCCTTAACACTCGCATTGCCCCCTTATGGGGCGTGGGCCCCACGTTGGGAAACACGGCTCTAGGTCTGTGTTCTAGTTCTGTGCTCTAGTTCTAGTTCTCTAGTTCTGTGAGCATTGTGATACAATGCTCTAGTGGGGCAGTGGTCACGCCCTGAAACCACAAAGCAAATGCCATACATATAGAGGGTTTTTTTATATATGCAATTTAATTATTGCTATTTTTAATTATTTATGACAGAAATCATGATGTGCGACGAATAATTTGAAATTTAAAGTTTTTTATGTTAATAAAAGGGAGTTATTTTGTCTCATCGAAAACGAATTTTAAAAGACATCCGATTTGAAGTACTAAGATCTAAAACATGTATGATTCTGCAGTCATTTTGTGTTATTTAGAGGTAAAAGATCAGTAATCAATCGAATTTCACTCAAAAATTTTGGAAAGAAGAGGAGGAAATAATTCGAAAATTGGTGGTTTCAAGGCGTGACCACCGCGTGTCAAAGGGTTAATGCTTCAGCTGTACTACATAGACTCTCCTCACTTGAGTACAAGGCACAGAATATTCATATAACCATATGAAACTGTCAGAAAAGTTCTTATTTACGATATTACTTAACCTGCATGTCATTGGAACTTGAATGTCTGTTACATTGTGATAGCGTTGACCCTTCATATGAAGTATGAGTTTCAGAAATAAAAAGTCATTCAGCACCTGGTGAATGTGGTGAGTAATTAAGAACTAACATATGTTTTCCCCCTCGAAACTGCAACACAACTCCAGCTGTATGAGTAGGTGCATTCTAAAGACCTTATTTTATTCTAACCAATTATTTTTAATTTAAGAAACTTTCCTTTCCCGTCTGATTTTGTTTTCCTGCCAGAATGTAAATTTAATGATGTATATGCAAATTTAAATGAGTTCAAAACAATATATAAGCCGCAATTTCATGGTACAGTTAGTTCTGAATTTATGCCACATGGTTAATTTAGTAACTTTGTAGTTGAATAGCCACTTTCAATAGCTTATATTGATATTCTAGACTCGGCTTTGCTGTGTGCAGCTGATTTAGTGGTTTAGATAAAGTAGAAGTCAGCCAGGTAGCTAAACTTGTGGTTTTAATTTATTGTGGTTGTACCTACTATTTTCAAGTTACTTAGGCACAAGTGGTGGTTAAATTCTGAGCACCAAGTAAGTGTATTTCTGTTTGTTTAGGTTATTGTAACCTAACATCTGTTTTTTCAAAACCTAGCAAAAATTTGTTACTTCATCTTTCAGTAGGGTCTGCAGTTTATGATCCCAAAATACACTAGAAGACTACAGCATGTCATACAGCAAGAAGGTATCCCTCTCCTTCCATTATTCCAGAGGCCCAACAGCAGCTGAGTGGTAAAGTCACTGAACACTGGTAGTGCGACCCGAGGTTCAAATCACGTAAACAGGCTGGCTGCATGGGGTGTTTTCATGGATTTCCCCATGTGTAACATGTATATGAACCAGTTTTCCTTAAATAGTCCTCCATGAAGGCTTCCCTGCCCATAGACAGATAGCCCTTGAGGCAATGCCTAATCACATAAACCAAACAAACCATCATTCCAGAAGAACCCACTGAATTCTCTTCTAGAATGGACCCATGACACTCAGCATTTGCGTTCTTAGTTTTGTCCCAGTTATGATAATATTTGTCTTGAAACTCTAGAAAATCTGTTTTAAAACATTTTAGACAGATAATATATCTATATGAAAGGGAATAAATACAAAGTAAAAAATAGTTCAAAACCTAAACTAAGTGTGCTTTGATAGCAGCAGCAAGTGGTGATAGTAATACAAAATAAAATAAATTAAATAAATAAATACATTTAAAATCCATTTTATATTCAGCTCAAAACAACCTACATGCAAAAATCAAAGAACAGAAGCACAGTCGCATAACTCAATCTTTCCTCAAATTTCATTAGAGATATATGTCTAATTCAGTGCATTCAGTTCTCACTTTATGGCAAGGCAAAAATACATAAAAAACTCAATGTTCATTAAAATTGTAAAACATGAACAATCTAAAACACCATATACAGGTGGGGGGAAAAATAATTTTTACAATTCAAATTATAGTTTCTATGTAAAAACAAACAATTTTGTTTGTTTTTGCATAGAATTGGTGACAATTCTACTACTATTGTATGCAGATTAACTTAAGGCATGAAAACCAGGGCATAAGAATAGTATAATTCAATCACTTTTAAAGCAAAAATTAACATAATTTATCAACATTTCTACATATAATAAAAGAAAGAGTCTATTCGTGTGTGTGTGTCTTTCGTTCGCGCTGCGCGTAAGCTAATAGACCCACAGCTACGAAATTTGGTACATAGATGCATCTAGACAAGAGCCAGTGCACCTCGAAGCGATTTTCGAAATTTGAATTAGAATTTTTTAATTTTATGTTTTGTGACAAAATCGCATCATTTTGAGACATATTGGGCTATAGAAAAGCGAGATTTTACTCTACGTACTCCATTTTCACGTCGTCATGAAACGTAGGTACTTAGCTAATTTATAAACTTAAAATAAATTTTATGTTTCAATAAATCAATTAAATACGAATTTATTTAACAGACAAAGCTTAACACCTTTTCAACGGGATTTTTTCAAAAACGTTTATGTTTAAAAATGTACAGTTTATTTTTCTTTGATTTTTGGACACGTTAAACTTTCTTCCTTTCGACTGCTTTTACAAAAAGAATTTTGGAAAAATGATAATATTTTGTATTTTTTAAAAAAAATTTAAATGAAGCTTTCGAGTACACTTCTCACATCTCACATCTGTAAAAATCTGATTTTGGCAACAATTTTCCTTTCTTATTGTTGTTGATAGATTTTTGATGAAATCGCATTATTTTGAATAGTTTCATTCTTTTAGAAATATGGGTTTGGCAACAATTTTTCATCGTATTTCTTATGTCACTGTTTTTAAGAGATTGGCATATTTCATTGTCATTTTTTATATATATAATAAATTTTTTTGATGTTTTTTATAAAGTTGTTCTGCAGAATAAAATTGTGCGAGGAATTTTTTGTTTTTTGAGTTTCTTTCATGTTATTTTTTGCTAATTTCACTGTTTGTAAGATATTGAAAAGTTGTGCATGATTTTTTTTTCTTCAGTGGAAAGTTGGTTAATTTTTTATTAGGATAATTAATATTTGTATTAAGGGATATAGCTTATTTCATTGTAATTTTTTTCTCTTGAAAATATAAGGTAAAATATCATTAATTATACTTTGCTTTTCAGAATTTTTTGTATTCTTTTATGTTATTTATTGCTCATTTCACTGTTTTTAAGATATTGAAAAGTTTTGAGTAATTTTTTTTAGGAAACAAATTTCTTAACCTCCTTTTATACCATTTGAGTTCTTAAGATTTTGCAAAGGGAAGTTGATTAATTTATTTATTAGGATAATATTTGTATTAAGGGATATTGCTTATTTCATTGTAATTTTGTTGTACATAATAGCATTTATTATGAAGTTTTTCCGCAGAGTAAAATTCTACACATTTGTTAAATTTAACGTTTGGTTGTTCCCTTAGCCATTTTCCCAGTACATTTAAAAGCCAGACGAAGGCTGGCAGCGAAGCTGCTAGTATAAGAATAAAATAATCTGAGCTCACTATATATGTGTGTGCATTTGATGTGGCCAATTGCCAAGAGAGTGGCTATATATATGTGTGTGTGTTTGATGTGGCCAATTGCCAAAAAAAAGGGGGGATGTACAACTACATGTTATAACATGTCTCCATGTATAAAATTTTAACATTCTACTACTACTCATTTTTTAGTTATGTAAGATACATATGTATATACTTACTTACAGACAACACAAAAAATCTCTCTGAATCCATTTTGCAATCCATTGTGGAACAAAGAGTCCTTTATTCTGTCTGTACTTACAGATGGCATGGGTTAAAAAAAAAAAAAATTCAAACAGATTTGAGAGCTATTAAAATGGATATTTTCATTGAAATATAACCAAAGCTTTCTCATGACTAAAATACTTCCTTTACTTCATACAAGGATGTAAAAATAACATATGTGAAGCCTGTTGAAGCTAATAGAACAAAAGTGTGCACATTTTAAAGAACACAATGTAATGTGAGACAACGGAGGCAAATATTTATTAGCAAGTTACTGCTGTATCTCTCTGCACTATCAGAAGTTTTCAGTAGTGAATTAGGATACATAGTTTTTCAGTTGTGAATGCGAAGATAAGGTTATTCATTTATTAGCAAGTTGTAGAGACATTAGGTATTTTTTTAAGCAGGAGTCATGAAAAATGAGCAGTGCCTTTGCTAGGACTCAAACCATGGACTTCTCGAATACACATCGAGTGTGCTGACCACTACACCACGAAGGCATGCTAACAAGGCTGGAGAAATATCTTATAAAGTTATTGCTGTGTTTTTGTGCTAACTAAAGTTTCCAGTAGTGAATTATCTAATGAGTATAGTTCTAAAAGAAGTGAACAATTTAAAACATCTTAAAGCCTTTATTTTTCATAAGCATGAGGATATGCTTTAGTGGCTTGAACATATGACTGTGGATTTTTTAGATGTTTTGCAAGGAAGGATTACCTCAACTTGATATATTCAAGGTATTTTAGAGGTTTGAATTTCAAGTCATAAGGTGAAAACTAAGCAACTATAATTCCTTTTAACAAAAAAAAAAAAAAAAAAATTAAGGGAAAGGTCATAAAATATTGTTATATATGGGTATTAAATATATTTGAGTCAGTATAGTAAATTATATTTGTTTTGAACCAAAATAGAAAAATACATTTCTTAAAGCTTGTATTTTAACAATGTAACAGTATCTTCACAGATATAATCAATAAACTCATCTTTTTCTGTTTCAGATTTGGAAGGCGTCCATCTATTATACTGAGTTATGTGATTGCCTGTGTTGCAGGCATTGGGACTGCTTTCACTAAATCTTTTTATACATTTAATTTTCTAAGATTTTTTGTTGGTGCTACTATTATACCTCTCTCTGAAGACCCATATGTTCTAAGTGAGTAAATATACTGTTTTTGTTATATTTTAATAATATTCACACCCTTTTAAAATTTTTGGTACTGTTCTGTTTTCAGGACCAGATTAAGAAATGTGTGCACATGTGTATGTATGTGTACACACACACATACATTCATACTTACATATATGCATGCATACATCAATGCATACATACATTTCTGAATCTGGTCTTGATAACAGAACAGTACCAATTTTTTTTTCTACTTTTGTAGTACAACTGATGATCATTTTAATCTGAACTCCTAGGGTAATTCTATAATTACTGATTATTTAATTTATTCAATTCATATTAAAATTCTTTTTATTCTGTTTCCTATGACTTTATTTTGAAAACTGTAATATCATTCTTTGCTTATTAATAAAGAATTTAACAGGTTATTCCAGAAAGAAGTATTAGAAATTTTGTAATTTTATTTTTAAGTTAGGTTGTAATTAAAATAAAAAGGAAATGGGTAATTTATTCTCATAGAATAGTCATGACTAAAATGAGTATAAGGGGTATACTGCAGTAAATCTATAATGCATAAAGTGAATCATCATCGGTATGTTAGTAGAATGTGTTTAATAGATATTAAGAATCTATATAAATTTATATTTTTATTTCTCAAGAATTTTTTAAATAAATGTCTCAAATTTTTATGACATTTTTATTTTCCTTACCTTTTCAGATGAGGGGGAATGTGGTATTTTATATTGTAGTCTTTTTAGAAAATTTGTCGACTAATGTTTTTTTTTCATCTAGCAACAGTAGCTTGATGCTGAAAGATGAAAGGCATTATCACAGTGCACTTTATCTTCAGTGCAGGTTTTGTATTATCCCATGTATACTTATGTCTATACGTGGGGTCAAGCATGATTTAGTTCCAGTTGTGGATAAGTGTGATGTCGCGACACACTCAAAACATCTAGGGTTTTGTTTCATGTAACCCTGATTGATTTTCACTAAGCCACATTTTGTTTTTATGAACAAGGATAGAAATTAATTGTTATTATTGTACCTTTTCATTATATTTTGAAAAAAAAAAATTAGTTTTGGGGCTGCTGTGTCACATTTGTGACTGTTCTCTGGTTCATTTACAGTTCATCTGTGGAACAGTATATTATGAATTCATTGTCAAAAGGCAGTCTATAAATGCATTTTATTACACGAATACCTTGAGATGTAATCAAGGTTGCATGAGACATGAACAATAAATGTCCAAAATTACTTATATATCTTCTTTTGGCTTATCTACTGTTAGCACTTAAATCATTTTTTTTCAGTTAGGTGTTAAATCACAGCAGGAAAAAATGTTTGTTATTACCCTGAAACCATTTCCAAATAGCATTTTTCACATCATCATTTTTGTATCTGAAACTTCACTTGTAGTGCTTTAGTTTTTGAAATCACTTAGAATCGGGTTTGGTAAACGTGATGGGTAGGAAAGAAGATGAAATTTGCACAGCTTTGGGAGCAAACATCTGGTGTGTGGATGCATAAGTAATTAGAGTGTGTGGATGCAAAATGTCACACAAAAGCAATGTTTTCCTGCTGAGTTTACAGCAAAATTTTTATTTTATGTCTTCTCAGATGTTAGGTAAACTAGTTGACATAATGAACACCTGCTGATCGTAATGTTATGTGGCAAGTAATCATGAGTAACAGCCCTTCATTACCCCTTCCCCCCTTCCCCCTGCCCCCCCCCACCCAAAAGGAAGGGAAAATCTGAAAATCCAAAAAGTTTCAGATTTCAAATTACTTCCAAAGGGGCGTTTTTTAATGTTTGGTGTGTTACATTTATTTATTAAATATCATGTTCTATGTACTCAAACCATGAAATTCAGTTCAACAGCAATATCGCAAAATAATTTTAAAATGAGCTTATCTTTAGAATTTCTAATGCAGAGTCTCGCATGCTGGAGATAAAAATATTTTTTTTTCCTGCAGTGTTGCCATTGCTTGCTTTGAAATCATTTAGTTTTTTTAATCTAAAATTCGTTGAAGTGTTACAAAATATGAAATCAATAATAAAACAAATTTCAAGTTCAGATTAGGGCTTCCACATGCCCATATTCTATGGAAGATTATGTTATTCCAATTTTGATGGCTCTAGGTACCGTTATTGTATAATAATGTGAGAAACATACTTACATTCATGCAAATTTATTATTTAATTTCTTTAAATATAATATAGGGCGATAATATTTGGTGGCAACAATTTGAAAAGTGATTCGCCATTTATAGTTTTCAATGCAAAATGCCAAAATGAAATTAATAGTTTTTCTGAGCAAATTGCCCCTTTGGACTAAAAATGTGGCTCAAGTCTTCCCTGCATATTTTTGCATTCTGAATTTAATGATGCCCAGTTTGGTTTTAATCAGAGAGTTCTGGTTTTAATCTGGTGTCAATCTAACTCACATGTTGATTCTTTACATATTTTTCAACTTTCATGCAGTACAAAAGCTAAAATTATCTAATTATCTATTTCAGTTAATGTTGCAGATTGCGTTGTTTCTTAATCTTCTAATTGGATCTGGCTTATCATTTTTTGCAGACTGTTAGAGCAATTTTACAAAAAGTAAGCTTGAACTTTCGGTTATGTCAAAAAGAGTTTCCGATTCTGGAGCTGTTAAAGGATCTACAAAGCGAAAGCATGTTTCGATGCCCATCAAACAAAAAGAGGAATTGCTGCAAAAAATTGATAAAGGCATATTCTTTGTTTCTCTAACCATTCCGAAATGTGTTTATCAATTTCATGCTGCTCTGTGTGTGGGGGAACGTTGTGGCACGCAATGAACTGGAAGTTGATCTGTCAGCACTATCCTCATCCTCAGGACAGATGTTTTTATTTTATTCGTCTTATAATTCCTTACTAAATGTAGTATTTCATCTCGATGTACTCCATCTTTGATATGATTTAAATCAAATTCCTCGTCATTATAAATATCACGAATACACATCAAAATAGTTTTCTGGTTGCAATTTTCTAATTTTTGACTATGCATAATGTATGCTTTACGCATGTGCGCGTTGAAAGAAATGTTTAATAAAGTAAACAAATAAATATTAAGCTTTTTTTTGTAAATTTTGATACTCTTTAGATCATAATTGCTCTTTATTTCATAAATTACAGTTTCATATTTTTAATTTTATAATTTCGGCATGCCATCTTACCAGATTTAAATTGATGATCTGTAATCCGGAAAACTCCCTAATCCGGAATCGCCGAAGTCCCGACGAGTCCGGATTAAAGACTTTGTACTGTATTAATTTCTCAGTTACTGTGTCCACACTGTGACACAGTAACTGAGAAAACCTTGCCAAAGGTCATCTTTGAGAGATGCTTCCTCCTACCTAATCATGGCATCATACAATTTGATATTGGTTTAATCAAGTGTAATATCACTACAAACTGCAATCTTAATAGTCATGTAAATTTGTTGTAATCGTGCTTTTTTCTTTTTTGGGGAGGGGATCAAGAACTTAAATCACCAGGCAGTATTTGATGCTTTTAATATTGGCAGACATTATTGGTTAAGAATCTTTGCTACACAAAAATAAACAGTTATTACTGTTAGAAATTTTTTATTTTTTTTTAAATATGCCAAAGGATGGTGCAGTCATTTCACTGCATTTTGTTGGGCTTACCAGCAATGAAGCAATAAAGTTTCTGAACATTAGTAGTTTGATTTGGGTTTTATTCCAGGTGGGTTGCATGGAATTTTCATTTGTAACACTGACATGAACGAATTTCCCTTAGAAAGTCCTCCACGAAGGCATCCCTATAGTTAGGCAGATATTCATCATATGCTTATCAACTAAACTAAATCGAACCACTGGATTTGGTCATGTTAGAAGCTAAAACATAATTAATGTCCACTGTATATCAGATAATGCATGTATGTTATACAGAATATATATATATATATATATATATATATATATATATACAGGGTGTATCAGTACAGCAGTGACAGACTTTCAAGAGGGATAGAATACACCTAGACGATGGGAAATCACACAACAGTGCAGGGTTGGAAACACTTTCCTGGCACGGTAGTGATGACACAAAATGCAAAAAAGAAGAACACAAACAGCAAGACAAAACCTATTTTATTACATTTCGTACAGCATAAACCTACAAATAAGAACATAAACAAACAACAGTTGTTATTAAAAGACGATATTTGAAATTACAACCCTGGGCCGTGATTTGAATTCTCCGGCGTATGGAAGATCTGCATCACGCATGGAAGATGCATCATGCGCGGTTCCTGCATCATAGTCCGAGTCATAACTTTGAACACCTTCTTTGATGATGATCATTGTCTCCTTATGTTGTTTTTTCTTTGTTTTGTTGTACTCCAAATAATAAACATGTTTTCTCACCCCGCTCTTGTCTTTTTTTTTCTTGACTTTTGTGTCGTTACTACCACGCCAAGAAAGCATTTCTGACCGTGCATTGCTATGTGATTTATCATCATCTAGATGTACTGTCTATCTCCTGAAAGTTTGTCACCCCTGTAGTGATACACTCTGTATATGATATTGTGGAATGTATATGCAGAGTAATTAAAAGGAAGAACTTTCTCTTTTTATTGAATTAATAAGAGTTGTCCTTTGAATTTCATATTTTTCATTTCATTTAATAACTTTGGAATGCAACATAAGGATTAAGTTTTTATGTCTCTACAAATGCAGAAATATGCATGCTGACTTGACAAAAAATTATTAATGCAATTTGTTGTTCCTACATTTTGATTTTAAGTGGCTATTGTTATGGTCTGGAAAAGTATGCAGATGTTTATAATCACTCCATAGAAATATAGATTGATAAAGTTTCTATTTTATAAATGTAAGTTACATGTATTTATTGTTTAAGTACTTTCTGTGTATTGGTATTAATATTTGAGTACTTTATGGTTTGTGTGAAAAGTTGATTTCTGTAATGAATAATAATTTTATTTATGTAGGCAAATAAAAAATTATCTACACTT